CCTATCCCCTGTGTGCCTTGCTACTAACCTTTCTTTTGTCTTTTTGGGATTTCTCAGCGGGTTTTCCTGGCCCGTCCTGCTTTCTTTGTAGTTAGGATTTCCTTGTGCTTCTCTCTTGCTGAGCTTGGATTTCTTTTCTTTGAGGTGAGATGTGCAGTTGACTCCATACCAGAAGTCCTTGGGGGGTTGCCTTTTTCCTGTGGCTAGAGGAGGGATATGGGTTTTTTGTCTTCATTGCTAGTGCTCCATACCTTTTTTGTACCCTTTACAAATAATCAACAAGTTAAACAAAAAAAAAAAAAAATGTCAGTCTCTCTAAACTATTAGTAAATAGAGAAGAGATTATATCAATATATTCCTACTACTTTAACACTAATTTTTTCTGACCTTTCCTGACTATTCTCTGGGAAAGCTTATTGGTCCTAGTTGCATTTTGCATAACTTTAAAATCAGCTACTACCAATACTATATTAATAGCCTTTAATGAGTAAAGTCTTCTTAAGAATTGCTACAGTTACAGCCTGGTATGAAGATAGTTTCTACTTTGACAGAGTTCTGGAGCGGTTCCGGCACAGTGTTGACTTTGATGCTACATCACCAGGCTGTCTACTGGATACAGCATCTCAGACTCGGCGGCCTGATTCTACCCAACATCAGCATTCTAGCTGCAGCCATGACGTGTACCTGGCACGGAGGTTAGTAGAGTTACACTATACTCTGAATGTGGTCTTTACTTTGGCAGAGTTCTGGCAGAGTACTGAGCTTGAGGCCTGATTCCATATATGTCCTTAGGTCACAGCATCTCAGACTGAGCGGCCTGATTCCACTTCATGCTAGCTCTCCAGCAGTATCCTAGATATCTACTTGGTGCCAATATTGGTAGAGCTAGAATCTGTTATATAAGTAGTTCTTACTTTGGTGAAGTTTGGGCAGAGTACTAAGCTTGATGCCCGCTTCCCCAAGTGTCCTTAGGTCGGAGTACGTCAAACTCAGTGCCCTGATTGTACTTGATACTAGCTTTCCAGCGGTATCCTAGATGGCTACTTGGTGCCAATGTTGGTAGAGCTACAGTCTGTTATGGAAGTAGTCTTTGCCTTGATAGAGTTTTGGTGAGGTTCTAGAGCAGGGCTGACCTTAATGCCTGATTCCTCAGGTGTCCTTTAGGTGCAGTGCCTCATATTGGGTGGCCTGTTCCTACTCCATGCCAGCCGTCTACGGGGACCTTGAACCTCTACCCGGCATCAATATTGGTAGAGTTACAGCTAGTTATAAAATTCGTCATTACTCTGCTGGGGTTCTACTGGAGTACTGACTTTAACATCTGATTCCGCACATGTCATTTGAGCGCAGTATCTAGTACTAGGCAGCCTGATTCTACTCAACACCAGCTTTCAAACAGTAGCCATGACATCTACCCGGTGCCAATATTGCTACAGTTACAGCATGTTATGAAAGTAGTTTTACCATGGCCCAGTTCTGGCGAGGTTTTGGTGTACTGCTAAATTTGATATCAAGTTTCCTGAGTGTCGTTTTGTCGCAGTATGACAAACTCAGCGGCCTGATTCTACTCAACACTAGTCTTCTGATGGTACCTGGGATGTCTACCCAGCACTAATATTGGTATAGTTTTCGCCTGTTATGAAAGTAGTCTTTACCTTAGTGGAGTTCTGGCGAGGTTCTGGGACAGTGCTGATTTGATGCCAGATCCCTTGAGCGCCATATAGGTGTAGTAGCTAATCCTCAGTGCTCCGGCCCTATTCAATGTTGGCTTTCCAATGGTACACTGAACATCTATCTAGTGCCAATATCTGTGGTATTATCCTCTGCGATACTGGGGATATGATGTACTATCTTGGGGGCTCAGAGGTTTTCTTTGTGTACTCTGTATTATAGAATCAAAATAAATACAAATAATCTTTATTTTGACACCTTTACAATATCCATGATATGGGACCTAGGTCATAAGGTCCAGTCCTGGCATTGTATCCGGAAAGGTTAGTAGTACTCATGGGTATCCTGAGACTGGTTCTTGAATCTGGTTGTATCCTGACAATTCTGGGAGTACTCAGTTGCGTCCACAGAGTCCTGAGCATACTCCATTGCATCCAGAGAATTGCAAGAGTACTCGGTTGGATCCCCACTTCTGGCACCAAGAACCATTGCATCTTGAGTCACCATTTGCAACCTGTGTGTCCTGTGCATCTGACGCACATGATGCACGGTATACAAGCTTTTATTTTTGCTGATGGGTAGTATGATACCAACCCTGTTTATATCTCCAGAGCCTAGCATAGCATGCTTGGGACTACCAGCCCTGACATCATCCGTTACAGTATTCATAGATGTACAATCCCATGTAATTGACAGGAGAGGACACTACCATTTGGCAGTTCTGTCACTAATTGGTTTCATACTATGTCCTCACTCACAAGTTCTCTGTTGGGCCCCACCCCCATTTCCTTTGTTGAAATGAAAATAAAAGCAGAACATAGCTACTGGTTACCACTTGGTAGGGGTCTTGGATTCCGTGTTCCTGAGTCCGAGTGCCTCGCTGGGCCCCACAAAGTGAAACAGTGTTTGTAAGAAGAATTTTGGATGACCTGTGGGAACTGCTGTGGGTCACATTACTTGCCATTTTCAGAAGTATCCAGATATCAGGATATTGGCCTGGCAGCAAAAAGAACTACACTATCCACTGTATTATGCGCTCATATTGAGCAGAGAGCGATTTAAAAATAAAAAAAGCACTAGGATACCTAACAGCACTCCTCAAGCACCTGTACTGATTTTCGAATTCTTTCCTCCTTGGTATTCTAATTGGTCCTTTCTGTTAAGCGAAAGGACCGATAAATACCAAGCTAAGCCCGACATCCAGATACTTTTGAAAACGGCAAGTAGACTGCCACGGCCAAGGTCTTATAACAGAATCTACTTGAGGGATGACTGAGACTCTGGGTCTGACAAAGTCCTTTTGTTCATTGGATTTTATTCTGTTGCACTGTAGTCCTGGGTAGTCTCACCAGTCCTACCTGTCCTGAGCATGGTCCGTCCTCACGCTGCCGAAATGGTAGGCTATAGGCTAGAGTCTGTCCCGCCGTACCCCAAAAACTGACTGACTGGGCCGTTGGGACCACTATTTGTATTCATAATTTATTCTCATAAATGCGGTCCTGGTCCCTCTTTGACATGAGGGCGCTATTCCCTTCATTGTTTTCTACTGTATATATGCGAGAGTCCCTTTAAACTTTCCTTGTATTTTTATCTATTTTCTTCAGGACTAGAAACTGGTTTGTCTCATGTGGTCACGTGGGCCGGGAGGTGGAATCGTTGCTACAATTTATAGGATATGGAGACTGTGGTTATGGTGAAGAAAACGTAAAATGTAGACTAGATACAGATATCCAGGGAACAAGGCCCAACGACATTACCTACTTCATGAGTTCTCACGAGATTCAAGCATCTGCCACCACGAAGTAAGTTAATGATGGCGACGGAAGCTGGAGAAACACATTGGGGTATCACAAGTCAATAGAGCGCAGTGTCAAAAGGAGAAAAACTTGCAAACAGGGGGTTCAGGGTAGGTAGCAGAAGGGCAGGTTGGCAATGGTATCTCAGAAGCGGGCAAAAAAACACCAGTAGCTAAGTATGGGTATCAGAACAAGAACCAACTGAAAAATGCTGAAAGAATATCAAGATATAGCTGTGAAGACTCTGAACACGTATCGAACTCGGAATCAAATATAAGGAATGCTATTTGTGAGCGAGACATGAAAAGTGCCGGGCGGTTGAGAAATTGCTGGACAACTTCCATAGATCCAACAGATCCAACGGGTTCCACCGAGTTTTCCCGGGATCAAGCGCATCGTGAACTGAACTAATGTTCATCAAGAGACCTGACCCCCCCTTTAACAACCCTAGCACCATGATCAGCGCTGCCGATTCTAACTCTGCGCTTACTGAAATGCCTTCTAGTGTCTGCTCGGGGGGTAGGCGAAGAGTCCGCATTTCTCCGATGGTAAGGCCGTCGCTTTTGTTTAGGTTGAGAAGAATCAGAGGATCGGATGCCGGCCTTCCTCTTTCGAGATTCTGCGCCCTGGGCGCTGGTATTTAGAAAAGCATCAGATCCAGTGGTAGAGCACACCGCAGATTCGGGGGTGCCGCGCGTAGATTTTGCTTGGGGAGGACTCTCGTTGTCTGGTTTGGTAAGGTCAAGGCCAAGCGAGGGAGCCGCCTGTTCGATGCCTGCCGTTGATGGGGTGTAGCCACCCATGGCGGAGCGGCTATCGAGTTCCTCATCAGACCTTTCTGGTGCACTCTCCTCATCCAGTATGACTACTGGCACCTTAGTCTGGGCGTCTACATGCATTCATCAGCAAAACGTACCCGGTACCAGTAGCGTAGTCTAAGGGTCTGCCCAGCGCAAGAAACTCATCAACTCAAAACGCATTCTGGGTCAACAGGAGCAGCTACAGGATTAAGTTAATAGTTGTCAATGCATGTTCAATGGCATATTAAGCCAAAATCTTAGCATGCCAACTGTTCCATAATGCATTTTGAATTGATGAACTGCGTGCGCCAAACGACCCCTAAATAAACAAGCAAACAAATATTATTTGAAGGGGAGTGGATTGATAGCATACCGTCGCTCTGACCCACTGCCCATGGCTCTGTGTGCCGGGCGCTACAAATCTCCGACGGGCGTCTTTGTTTGAGCCTCTCATAGGTATTTGCAATAGAGTCCTTGCGGATTTGAAGACCAAAGTACTCATTAAAATGGACATATGTATCGCCGCGACTGCACCCAAGATCGTTCCGGTAGAACCATATAAATCGATGCTCTTCGTTTGTAAACCGATGAAGTGTACGTTTATCTGTTCCATCCTTGCGCTTCGACGAGGTCGTCCTCGGGACACGAACCGCAGGGCTAAACTGGGCAAGAGTCCTGACATATGGCTCAGTATTACCCTTGTGCAGACTTGAGTGAGCATTTGAGCGCCTTGGGTGAGTATTCGCAGGCGGATCGAGGATCTCAGCTTCCTCCGCACTATCGTCGTTATCCGTGTCAGAATCACTTCGGGCTCTCTCAATCTCAGGCTTGTTTTGTGAACCCTGTGAACGCGTCCGCCGAAATGTAGAGGGTCTGGAGGAGTCTGCTTCGTCGCTTGGAAGGTTGGCAGTAGGAACATTCGAATTTTGTGATCTACGATCGTAGCGGCGACGATTTGTACTAGATCTTTTGCCCCCACAGGCCCTTCCAGGTGAATTGGGAGAGGACATAAGTTCCGGCTTGACCTTTGCCATCGCGGGATTGCTGGAGATCGGGGAAAAAGTAAAAAAAAAGAGCCGCACTTTGGGCGACGACACAAAACGATTGATTGGCGCAGGTAGGTCTGATCGCAGCTTCGGGCAGGGGCTGTGCGCGGGGTGTTGGTTGGTGTTGCCGGAATGAAGAGACGGGAGAGGGAGAGGCAAGTAGAAAAGAATGTGTGTGCAAGAAGTGAGACCTTTTATGGGTCTCGGCGGACGCTCTCGGCGCTGGGCGTGTCCGGTTTGCAGTTTGGTGCTCCAAAAATGAAATTGAAAGCAGGTGCCACCTAGAGGCAGATAGAATTCCAGAGCGTGGTCGGCCTGCGAAAGACCCTGAGACCTATCCAATTTCCATTGGTGGCTTCCAGATGAAGAGAAGAAATTTGCCCCATCGTTTTCTCTTACTGCGACCGTGTAACATATTATTGCCTCCTGTCTTGCGTTCCCGGATTCTCGTCTCTGCTCCATAAGCCTAAAGAATACAATTGATCACATTGGTATTGTTATGAGACGCTGGGATTGGATGGATAGGATTAATGTTTGAGGGAAGAATAAAGTTTCTGAGATCATTGGTGTGTATTGCTCGCCCTACTTCTTTTATCTATGGATAAGAGGCAGTTTATATAGAACAGTGAGTCTCCTATCCACTTGCACAAGATCTTCCCGAGTTGCCCAATCCTTCTCCGAGGTTTGTGGTTATTCCAGGTAAGCTGCTCCGAGGTATAGCCGAATGGCCGAGCATGACCGAATACTTCCGAACACTACCGATTAGTATCTTTCTCTCCTGAACCTCCTTTCCGTAGCATCTCTGAACCCTACAATACAACCAATAAGAACAACCTAGCAGGGAAAATCTCTGCTAGTGTGAAACCTCTGTACCATCTATCAAAACACTAATGCGGAACCATATGAGCACCGGTGAGTTTCGACAATTGTGAGTGATAGGCTGAGATTGACTCCGTACTGGTTGAGTCGCTCCGCCATTCAAAAAGTGTTTTGGAGCAGTTACCTTGCTGGGTGGTTTGCTTACTATGCTATTATGCATGCTTTAACACCTTTTATCTTATTTCAATAATTCTTGAGATGGACCCACAACGTGTATTGAATTGACGAATGACCCACTCGATGCCCAGTCGAACTGGAAACTCAATCTGGTAATTATATTTAACTATGATACATTACAAGGCGGTCCTCGAAACACTCAGGGCAGTTGGAACCCAAAAAAACTTTAAAGAGGGTAAGGGCAAAAGCCCAAAAGGTTAAGGTCGTTAATAACGTAATTTACGGGGATGCGGCTCATGACCGGGGTGCGGCTCACCATGGCAACCACTGGAAAACCTAATGTATACTTGATTATTGACAAAAATAACGATGCCACCACTATAGAAATTGGTTAGAAAGTACTTTTAAATATGGAGAATCAGAATATGTAGTTTTGATTTATTAATAAGCAAAATAACTGTTGGTATAGTGGTTTTAAGAATAGTTGTTTTAAACAAGATTATACTTTTACAGCTTGTGTAAAAATTCAAATATAAATGGAAGAACCTTTATAACCTAATAGAGTAATTATTTGGGCTTAACATACTTAGAATAATATAGCTTTCTGGTAATTTATAAGCCTA